GTGTTGGAGCAGGGAAAATCATAAAACCTGCAGGACTGCGGCCCTCGAGGACCAGGATTGCCCACCCCTGCTCTAGTTGGGAAAAAAAATAGAAATCAAAACAATTAGACTTATTCTGAAGCTGGACGTGTTGCTTCTCACCCAGGAAGCTTTTTAATTCTGAAATTTTGGGAAAACTTCCTGGACGGGAAGGGAAACGTCAGCTTCAGAACAAAAGTCCATTTGTTTCGTCTTTTTCACTTTTTCATGGAGATCAGTCAGGGCCTGGATGACTGAATCCTCACTAACTCTAGCTGAAAACAAAAATACATGCAGAGTATTCTCAGGGAGCACTGTTTAAATGTGTTCAGACCTCCTCTGAAGGTGGTCTAAAGATGTTTCAGTTCATATTGAGGCCGTTCACACCTGTATTTGTGCCTGGTGGTTGAACTTCACATTAAACCAGTTAACTACACAACAGATTAATTAATTCTTACAGCTGGCCCACAAAACTAAAACACTTGCCATGCATTCAAGCCTTTTTAACAACTCATTTATTAGTTAAGATCTATAGTTTTGTTTAGTTTTTTAAAATAAATAATAATAATCCATTAGTCTTATATAGCCCTTTTCGAGACCCTCAAAGACGCTTTACAATTTTCATGGCTCATTTATTCACACACACATTCTGATGATAGTAAGCTACATTGTAGCCACAGCTGCCCTAGGGCACGCTGACAGAGGCGGGGCTTCCCTCCAAATGTTTTGGATAGAAATATTTGACATTCAGTGGCGAGCCAATCCTCATGTAGCTTCGACTTTGCAATGTTTGTGCTAAAAGTGCTGATTTTAAATGCTGGATAACACCAATAAAACCACACAAAATTGCGTTTTAACCATTTGTATGGTACCATTCAGAAGAAAGGAGTTCGGGTTTGAGGTAAATTGAGGTTTGATTTTGCATCTCAGCTGATGTGTAGTTTTCAAAACAGTATATTTTTAACACGTGCCTCAGTTAACAACAAAATATAAGATTTTCAGATTTAAAAATGGGATCCATTTCACCTACAGCTCAGTCAGCGACTAGACTTATTATTTTTACGTGTTAAAATTGGTATTTTCAACATTTCTCAYATTTATTTATTGAAAGTGACTGATGCTGTACGCTCACTGCTACTTTTTTAACTCACACATTTTAAAGMGTCTTATCTGTTCTTTTTACTCCATTTAACTTAAAAGAATGGGGTTCTGTTATTTTATTTTTCAAGTTTGGATTTTAACTTGTATTTATATGTGGGTGTAATAAATGTTCACACTGATTTGAGTTCTTGTTTTTGTGTGTGWCAGCTGTAGAGATGGGTGGACAAGACATGACTGCACAGCAGGTAATCCCAGGAATAACTGAAAAGTTAGTTTCTTTTATTATGCTGACTCTTTTGTGTTAGGGTCCAGTTTTTTCTCACTTGAAGCCAAACTCATAAAAACAGCTGGAGGCTCCAACACAAATGAGCTTAATGTGTAAATCTGAATTACAGAAATGATCAGGATCTGACGTTTTAAAGGATGATGTGRAATCTTTGTAGCGTTGACCATAAATCAAACAGTATTTATTGTCAGAACCACTATAGGAAGAGTTAATTTTAGCAGCTCTCTTGTTTGGTTTTTGACAAAATGTGCAGAAAATTTCTATAACATCAATGATTTGTTTTGTTTTCAGGGACCGCCACGGACACGTWGAGTGTGGTTTAAATGAAAACATCTGATTTGATTTGGTTGTTAATGGTTTTGGTACACACGTTTATTCCTCATTTTAGAATGATTATCCTATTAGTATAATTTATTATTAGTAGTACTTTATGTGGTGCAGTTTGCAGATAACCTGTTTGTCACTTTGACAATCTAAGCAAAGAAAGTGTAGTTTTGAGTTGTCGTTACTTCTGTTTAGACTCAAATCTGGTGTCAGTGGAGTTCAGACCCCCCCATGTTGTTCTCTTTGCTTTAAAAATAAGACCCTTTATAACACATGTGTCAAACACAAGGCCCGCGGGCCAAATGTGGCCTGCGGGTGACTCCCCCCATGTGGCCCGCCGGGGGGGT